TGGATTATTCAAGAAAAGTGATATTTATTTGGATTATCCTAGTACTGAGATATATGAGGGACCAGTTCATGCAATGAATCGCGGGACAGATATTGTACTTCGGCCGCTAGAACAGTACGTGAGTGTTTATCATAGTGGTCAGTCCGACGTTCCTGGTTCCGGATCCGTTGATTTGGTGCATGGTAAGAAATCGCAGATCTGTTTCTCAGATCAGGAAACGCTCGATTTCGTCGGTGAACGCGATCGGCATCTGTCTGATGTCCGTTGTGTGTCTGGGCAGTTGAAATCTACATCTTCCTTCAAGGTTCACGTAGCTACTGAAGACCGGACTTTCCTACCTTCCGATCGTACTAGATCTAATGTTGACGTTCCTGGTTTTGATGTGTCGATTACTGCGAAATCTATGAAAGAGCGTTCTCTACCTGTGGGTGTCGCTCATCCTTGTCCCAGGGTGAGTGAAGTTACTGGTATGAAGTTTTCTGCTGGAGATACTGGTGTGAAGGGCCCAGATATATTTGCAAAGGAGTCATCTGGCTTCAATTATCATCGCAAAACTCGTGAAGTAGATTATTGGATTGGACGGCATTCCGAGCGGCATTCGAGGGGCTCTAGTGATCTCACCGCAGATGTTGGTGTCGACGTGCTTTCGGATTTTGATTGGGATGTTTCTGATACAAGTAGCAGATTGCATTCGGATTCTGCTCGTTTCATATCTAGCCATCAGGAGATGTATGATAAAACTACGACTCGTAGAACTTCTCCTGCTCCTGATTTGCACTGGACCACTGTGAGTGAGACGACATCTGTATCGTACAAAAAGCGTATTTCTATTGAGCGTAGTCGTCCTCGTACTGCCTCACCATCTCGACTACCAATATCAAGACGTCGATATCGGCCTCCACCGCCTCCTCCGGAAGTGGCAGCGTATGTTCGTCGTGACTGGACTCAATTTGAGAATAGTTCATTGCCTAGAAAATATGCTGGAGTACCAATTGAGGATGATTTGCGCAATCAGCATACTCGATTTGAAGCTACATCTCTTCCGTCTACATATTTTCCGTCTACTGATAGAAAAGTATGTTTTTTTATTTCATCTTATGCTTCTGTAGGTTTCGTGAATATCCTTACTTTATTTTACTGAAGAATAACATTTTACTTGACTCCTTTTCGGTTTTGTCTTGCTACTTATTGAGTGTTATTTTTTATTAACAGGCGGAAGGTACCCTAATTCGTTATGATCTGCCGCATCCTTCATCACCACCACACTATAATTATCTATCTGGAGAACGGAATAATTGGACAGTAGAAGGCGGGCCGAAACAACCTCGTGTTGTTGACCAAAGTGGCCAGCCACTGTTCGATCGCCAATTCTCAGAACGTACGTTTTGTTTATTATTTTCTACTCAAAACCATGATATGTTAAATGCAAGGAACTCATTTATTGATGATTATTATAATCATTGAATAGTATTTGGTGCATTTTATTTGATATCAAAGCTTTATTTTTTAATTATATCATGATTTTTTTTGCTTAAAATTTAATTTGTTTTTTATACATCATTTCCTTACGATTATTACTTCATTGTAAGGTTCTTCTTGGTTTATTGGACACGTTTCTTTTCAGAATCCCAGCAAGCAACACTGCAATATCAGAAATCTAATCTTGAAGAAATACCAATTGTTTCTCGTATACGAGATTTGCCAATGATTGAAGACGGAGCTGTTGAATATCCATTTTCTACCGTTATTCCTGTTTCGAAAATAGAAACTCAAGGTAGTCTCATGTTTTTCTTTTGCGTTTGAATGTTACTAGTATTTCTGGTATTCTATATGAAAGCAGCTTGTCAGTTTTTGACTTAAAATTTTTAATATGATTATTGAAGTGATTTAAAATATGAATTTGTCATTTCTTAAAGTTACTTGTTCGGGAAAGCTATACGCTTAGGTTAAAGTAAATGAACTAATGAAGTTAATATAACTTTATGTGCTTTGCAAAAGATTTGGAATTTTCTTTTTGAATTTTAAAGTCAATCCTTTTTAGTTCTTTTTTTTGTACATTTGGGTTTTTTTAAATTATTGTTACAAATTATTAGCATGTCTGTATTAGTGACTGAATTAATAACTGTTGCAGATCTAACACCCGGTGAACATTTGAGAACAACTCGTTCGGCTCCACTACGTCGTGCAAGACAACGCATTCGTAATCTATGTTCAATGTTATAGATGCATTTAATTTTGTGACATGCTCGCAATAATATCACTTGCTTTATTTTTGGTATAACTATACCATGTAGTTTCTATGTCATTTACTTTTCAAATGATTCGGAAGCTGATGTGATGTTTTGGTTATATGTAAGCGTTCATAGTTTATAACTCAGCTTCTGAAAACTTTTAGCATAAAAACAGCACTTAATAAATTATATTTCTCTGCGTGGTCAACTCGGCAGTTAATCAAAAATATCAATTTAAACTTCATTGTTTCAGATTTCTTGTTGCCTGCGGTACTTGTTATTTTAAATTGCGGTTATGTATAAATCCGGAAGTTTTCAACCAAATCTTTGCTTGCATAGATTTTTCACAAGCTTTTATATTACATCCACTTGTTCTGTGCATCTTCTCTGTCCTAAATCCAGAACAGCTTTTTTTATAAACTGAAATTTGTATTATATGTTGAATATTTTTTGAGTCCGTCGATGGTACCTGACAAAAGGCTTCATTGACACTTATAAAGTATCATGTGGTCTCCAATGCTTCAACTTGTGTTTTATCGACAATAATAAGTTCTTATAGCTATTGCATGTTGCTGCTGTGTATACAACGAATTGGAATTTGATCACTTTCGTAGACGTCATGTGATTTTTATACGAAAATATGATTTTGTTAATTGTAACTATTTGCTAACCTATGCCAGTAATCTCGCCGTTGTGCTTTTACAATTGATTAATATTCTGGAAATGGATTTTCTTTTTTCTGTAAATTTTTAAGTCTAATTTCAAATGTTCATGGAATAAAATTTTATAGAGTCAAGAAGTACGTGCTTTGTTTTCATTTCCATCGCTAGAAACTTTGAATTTATTCAAAAAATTGTAATTTTTCCATCTTCAACATTCAGCTCATTAAATATTGCTTTGAAAGCTCGTTCATAAACATTTGTTTGTCTTTTCGATATAGTAGCAGTCCTTTTTGTCGCATAACTTTATTTGATTTTTTTCAAATATTCCAATACACAGACTATACTGTATCGAAAATGTTCTGTGTAGTGTTGCATACTAATGTAGAGTTTTGCTATTTTCAAAAATTTTCATTTTATTACATTTTGCTCACTTTAGCATTATATTTATTCAAATGTACTCGCTGTTTCTCTAGCAAATAAATTATCAAATTTAATTGCTTTGCATACCGTACACAATGCAATATTCTTGATTCCCAATTGTTAACATCTTGTTTCGTGTTTGACACAGTCAATTAAAATTTCTGGAAGCATTTTTTCATAAAACTAAGTCTTTTTCTCCTAAAAGGTGGATAGATATTGTTGCAAATAGGTTTGCTCAAATCCAAAAAACGTTTTTATTATCGCGACTTGTTATACATTTTAAATACTATATAAATCTTAATTTCAATCTGTGTTTCAATTTACTTGATCTTAATTAAAGATTTGCAGGAAGAGAGATATGTGACTGGAAATATATATATATATTGATTGATTGATCATATATATATTCTTTCTCCAAGTTTCAGTATTGTTTAAAATGTGTATTTTTCATTAGGTTTGCTCTCTTCGTACTACGAAAGTGGGAAATATAGATTTCATTTGCAGTTTTAATTTTTTTATTTTCATACAAAGTTTTTTGTGCTTTTTGATATAGGTTCAGTCTTTTTATTCGATAATAAATTAACTGTTTGCATGAAGTTTAGATTTCTGAATCTAAATGCTGGAAATCATTTGTGCGAAATACAGTACCAAACTTCAATCAAATAATTACAAGTAAAAGTCAAATTTCCAACATTTACCCAATTTTGTTTGATAAAATTAAAAATCAAAGAATTGCAACTGACATAAACTATATTAGGTTTCTTAATATTGAAATTTTCTGGATAGAATATACGAATTTGAAAACTTTAGAATAAAATGTAGATTGTAAAAATTGTTATGTGGAACCAATTCATTTTTCCACAGAACTAATGAAGTTCATGAATTGTTATAACAAACTCCAAATGTTTTTTGGATCAATTGAATAGGTGATCAAATGAAATAGAGTAATACACAATTTTTTCAAAGAATATTATTATTTTGAGCCAGTACGATGAATGTTTTCAAATTGTTCACTACATTCACTGCACTATCAACCTTTAATCCCATATTTATTTTAATCATGATTTTACATTTATTTTAATAATGATGTTAATAACAAATGTTTTTCAAAAATCACAAAACTTTTATTGATCAAAAAATATGTATCGACAAATAATGGTGTTTCTAAAATTATTTGCAATAGTAATGATTAGGAGCGGAATATTATGGATAAACGCGCGGTTTAGATGCTCCCAAACTATCAGTAACACATTTAGATGACTGCATCACCTTTACCACTCTTACATTTTTTAAATTTCCCGCTTTTCCAAAATTTTTGATAATATTCCTTTAAGTTAAAGTTCCAATTTAAATATAAGAATTGATAAATTTTTTAAAGTCATTACTGTTTCTCTTAATGCCAATGACATTTGTTACATACTAATATTTGCTTAAGAATATATCGCTTTATAGTCTAAAGCCTTCAATAGTGTGTTTAACTAAAAAATTTGAATAATCTAACAATTTTCAGCAAATCTTCGTTTATTTGCAATCAAAGATCTGTCATTGCAGTTTATTGACTTTCGTCTAAAAAGTAATTCTATAGACTGCTTCACTGTTGTGGTTGTGTGTTTATGTGTGTAGCAAATAGCAAATGCGTGTATTTTTTAGATAGCAATTTTAGTTAGCTTGAAAATGTTGATAGTATAATGGAGCAAACAAATGCTTCACAAATGCAAATATTTCTGGAACGAATTCTGTTTAGACTTTCTTTTCCATACAATGCTGCAACTTTCGAGCCTGCTGAAATGTTCATGCAAAAGCTGCTGAATGTGATGAAAATTGATAAACCAACCTGAAAAAAACGAAAACAAAATTAAAATTGGTATAATTGTATTACTAATTGCTTTTTTTGCAATCTTTCCCTGAAAATTATATCAAATTGACCCTTTAAGAATCACACAGTTTGTTGTACAATCAATTCATGAAGTAATTTGTTCTGACCTCAGTCATCTCAAGACTAGACTAGCATTTTTATCAGTTGATATCAGTCAAATGATAAAGAGCACTGAATCTCTTTTTTGCTATTTCATTTTAAGTTGCATATGCAAAATTTTTATATTAAAGGATGGTTTTAATGTATTGCTGATAACTGCTTGTCTATTTGTTAATTGCAAGCATTACTTCTATTTGCTTATAATCAAAAATTCATCGCTGTAATTTATTGATTTTCTATGGAAGATGCAATTCTATTCTATTAACTCTTATATATTTGTGTGTGCGTGTTTGTGTGCGCGTGCGCATGTGCATACGTATGTTTATAAGCTTCGCTGTAAATATGCGTACATTATTTGGATTTTGATTTCATTCAGTCCCAAATATTCTTCATGAATATTTAACAATTTGAATTGATTAAACATTTAAGAACAATAATAATAAATAATTAAAAAGTTGTTGTTTTGTTTTTATTTGTGTTCAGTTCACTATTTTGATTATCTATAAGTACACTGATAATAAAAATATCAATAAAAGACTGCTGAAGGATCTCTGATTTTTTTATTGTTATATTTCAATTAAATTTTGTTACATATCAAATTGAGTGGGTATAAATCTATGAATATTGTGTCATGTCATCACGTTGTTACTAAGATGGAATCTTAGATTCTAACCATTCCAAAAGCCGTAATTTTAATTTAAACAGTTGAGAAGCACTAAAAAGACTAAAAAACTACTGTTTGGTTTTTTGTTGAAGATAGAAGACGAGGAATTTTTTGCTCTGTAAAACCAGTATTATTAATATATTTTTATCGAATAATTTTTCACTTCTAATGCACTTTTATTTCATTTTCAATAGAAAGAACAACTTTCAGAATCAGTCTTATCATTTGATTTTGCTTCAGTTTATTTTGTTCATTTTATCAGTTCTGGAAACTTATGCTTTTATTTGAATAAATCAATCCCCTATTTTGATAGTACTTTTTCTAGCATGCTTTTCATTTACTATTCAATGTTGAAGTTTATTCATAATTTATTTCTACGCTTTTTAAGAAATGAATAATCGATTTTTTTTAACTTTATAGTGTGATTAGTAAGTTTTTTGTCTAGTTACACACAATTTTGAGGTGCTAATTTGTGTTGAGTGTGGAAAAAAAGTAAGTCCAAGAATTAAAAGAGTAGCCAATATTGATGTTGAAGAAGTGATTAGTAAAGCAGTAATTTTTGGAAAATTTCATGTTTATTTTTTTTAACTTTAGAAAATTACTGGCAAGAAAAGTGGACATTAATTTAGAAACTGAAACATAACGTCTTTTTTTTCACTGACCACTGCTTATTTTATTCACATGACATGACATGCAAGACATTTTATATGTTACAACTAGTCAAGCAAATTCTTTTTTGCTTGTTTAGTATATCTAAAATTGAACTCCATTAATAATGCCGAATTTGTGTGCTAATTTTATAAAAATTTTTTGCTATATTTTTTTTCAGTGTTTAACGAACTCAAAGTGTTTTCAACGTTTCAATTTTTGCAAATTGCATTCTTCACTATCAACTTTGTAGTAGAATTTATTCATGAACAGAATAGTATGCTCGCTCATTTTCAGTGATATAAAAGCAATGAATGATTCAGTCTAAAATAAATAAAGTGCTGAAAATCATCTTTAATATTAGTAATCTACTTGAGCTTTCTACATTTAAAATTTTATTCTGAGGAAAATTGTGAAGTTTCATCTTTTGAGCTGTAATTAATTGTTTAAGATTCTGTAGTGATTCACAGCAATTGGCGGAATTTGCTTTTTAATTGTCTCACTTTTAATCCTTTTTTTTTAATTTGTTCGATATAAATAATAATTTATAAATTAATACTATTTAAAAATTGTGAAAAAACTAACATTTTATCACTGTCAGCAGCACATGCATTCTATAAAATGAAAAATAAGAAAAAATCACAACATTTGTAGGAAGTACAGAAAGTATCAAAATTACGAGTTCTTTATGGTTAGAACGGCTCACGTATGCCTAATTAATTATTGTCAAACACGTTTCTATTTTGCGAATATCAATATTAGAAGTTAACAGTCTTAGAAGCAAATTAACAGTGCACTCAAATTCGTTTGATTTCACAATAATGTAAGCTTCGGAATTTAATTACTTTGTTATTAGAATCGTACGCATCGTATTTAACTTGTTAACTACGTCATGTTTCAAAATGCTTTATTAATGTCACTTTTTGGTTTTTTAATTATTTTAGCATTATGTGTAATTCTGATTTTGGTGCGCTAAATATTGAGAGAGTCACGCAGGCACATTTTAACGAAGTGAAAAGATTTATGACTATCGATTTTTTGCATAATGAACCATTAAGCAAGTCAATAAATTTAAGTGTTGAAGAATCAGATGGGTTGTTTGATGGTAAGTTCTTAGCGTAAGTATTCTTATCTACACAGTCGTACGGAAGTTAGTCTCAAATTTGTTATATTTTATCTTTTTTATTTATTTTTCAACTTATTCAATACATTTGTGAGGAAATAAAAAATAAATCTTTCATTTTTGAGAAAAATTTAAAAATAAATAAAAATGAAAGCTAATTTTTGATGATTTTTCCATTTTATGCATAAATTATTATCTAATAAATCAAATTTCGACTCTTTATCAGTTTATATTTCAGCCAACAATCTAAATTTAGTACTTACCTTACATTTACTGAATCACTTTCCTTTCCTAATTCGACATGAATATATGATTTTAAAGATATCATCCAAGCCGGTATTGCATCTTCATTATCATACTTACTTCGAACGCCTGATGGGAATATCGCTGCTCTCAGGCTAGTATCAATATTGGATCAAGCAGAAGAAAAATGCACATCTGAAGTTTGCATTTATAACTTCATTAGTTTGATTCAGGCTTAATTTTTCAAGTTTTTATTTCAGCATTATTTCAATTAATCGTATAATTTAAAAAAACAAAATCTTGGATATTAAAAATTTATTAAATTATTTACATAATTATCTAACAATTTCT